AGCTCACATCTTCATATGCACCAGCTCAATCACTTGGAGGAAAGACCCTATGAGTGCAATATATTTAAGAAGCAATTCACTCAGGAGGCACAATTTATCATGCACCAGCAATGTATTATGGAAGAAAACCCTAACAGTGTTCGGAGTATAACAAAAACAAATTTGCTTAGGGTAAGTATGAGAAAACATAAACTTCACACAGTAGAAGAAAATTATGAATGCCCCACCTGTAGGCAACAGTTTCTTCGCCATGTAGAACTTGCCCAGCATGAGGTTATACACACTACAGAGCATCTATTTGTATGTGAATAGTGTAAGAAAATCTTCAGACACAAGTCCAGCCTTAAAGTTCACATAAAAATGCACACAGAGAGTGTACTATACAAGTGTAGATAGTGTCCTCACACTTCCCTTAAAAAAAGAGGACGTTGCGGCTGGGAAGGTGGCTCAGTGGTAAAGTGCTTGCCTTGCATGCATGAGGCCCTGGGTTCAATTCCTCAGCACCACATAAGCAGAAAAAGTCGGAAGTGGCGCTGTGGCTCAAGTGGTAGAGCGCTAGCCTTGAGCTGAAGAGCTCAAGAGCTGAAGACCCAGAGTTCAGGCCCCATGACCAACCAAAAGAAAGAGAATGTTATGAAACAGGTTTGCTGGACAGCTTAGAGAAGAACTTTCTGCCAAAAACTCTTTGAGAAACCGCCCCTGCCATGGGCTGTTTTAGAAGATAGCTTCTTTTAACCTCAGTTCAGAGAGGAATTTTACATTTTGTTGTTTTGAAAACCCACCTCCCAAGCACTCATTGACCCTTTCTACTCTGTTCGATTTGATTTTCTGTCCTAGGCAGATCTTATTTAACTGTTGCTATGAAAATATTTTGGTTCCAATCTAGATATGAGTAGTTGTCATTAAGTGCATACAAACTTCTGTTCTTCTCAGAGATTGGGTCTCAATCCCAGTAAGCAGGGATATACCCAATTGTTGGGCTGATAAACACTGTTTGCACGAATAAAGGTCTGACCTGTGAAGGACAAGCCTCCTGTTGCAGCTCTTTGGCTCACTGTTTGAGCAGTGGGACCTTCTGTCATAGACAATGGTGACAAGCATTTTACTTGACTCCTGCCACAGCACTCACCACAATTACTGGCTTCTGTGAGCCAGGGTACTCTCGTTCGGTGTCATTTGAGACTTGTAACTGCTCATTACTATGTATTGACATGCGGGCCAACACTGGTATAGCTTCTTGTAAATACTAGCTTACTGTATTGCCTTTATTTGCTCCTGGAGATGGTGATTGTAATTTGGGTTTTGAGTTGTGTTTTATGTGTGGCTTTTCTATCAATCTGTACTTACGTTCCCCTGTCACTTTTTCACTTTAGTTCTCAATGGCACTTTTCATTTTTTCCTCTTTTATCCCCAAAGTTGGACTATATTATCATTTTCTTGTTCATTTGTTATTATAATACATTTGTATTAATAAAGCTGCTTCTGTTTACTTCTACTTTTTTGTTTTGATTTTCTTGAAGTCTTATATGATATGGACCATAGAAAGTAATGGCCTGAGGTGTGGAGCACACTTATAGAGATAGTTCATAGGCTCTGAACTGGGTTGGAGTCCTTAGTCTTGTGTTCATATAGGACCAGTGACATGGAGCAAGTCGATTGCTGGTCATACTGAGCATTTATATTTTCATGGTCTCTCTTCCCTTCGTACATATTTTTGACACCAATTTTCTGGACATTAAACTATTTTTGTGTGTGACAATATTGGGGCTTCAACTCAGAGCTTGAGCACTGTTCCTTAGCTTTTTCCCTCCACTACTTGAGCCACAATTTGGTTTTTTTTTGGGGGGGGGGAGTTCATTAGAATTAAGAGTCTTGGCCAGGCGCTGGTGGCTCATGGCTGTAATACTAGCTACTCAGGAGGCTGAGATCTGAGGGTCATGGTTCAAAACCAGCCAGAGGAGAAAGTCCATGAGACTCTTATCTCCAATAAACTAATCAGAAAAATTTGGTGGCGCCATGATTCAAGTGATAGAGCACCAGCTTTGTGCACAGAGAGGATCAGGTCAGGGTCAGAGCCCAGGCCCTGAGTTCAAGCCAGCAGGACCAGCAAAACAAAGTCCCATGGATTCTTCTTTCCTGGCTAGCTTTAAACCATGATCCTCAGATCTGTTACCTGAGTGGCTAAGATTACAGATATGAGCCACTAGGACCTAGCTAGATCAGCTATTTCTTAAAGAATTCAGGAGTAGAACCTCTAAAGAAAGAATATCCTGAGAAGGGATTCCTTGTCTTTTAAAAGACAGCCAAGAGATTTTACCTGCACCAGCCTCTAACAGGGTGAATGAATGCCACCATTTTCAGTCACAGAAAATGGGCCACAAGGTGGAAAAAAAAGCCAGAATCATTCCCTTTATGGAAACCTAGGGAGTCTTTGGGAGGACTTGGGTTGGACAAATACCTGGGTCCTAACTGAGCAGACAATACCCTCAGGCATATGAGCTGATGCTACTGAACTCAGACTTCCTATGGACTGTCTATTGTGGGTGTATGGTTAGAGAAAGCTTCCTTGCTTCCCCAAGGCTCACAGCAAAAAACTCAGCTTCTGAGGATGGAAAGCAACTGATCTTTCTTGGCATTGCCTAGTTCTTCCTCTACTACATGAGGAGTTGCCAGACATAGGGCAGAGGTTTCTAAAAGCTGACCACACCTCCTTTTTACACCCCTTTCCCTGGGCAGCACAGACTTGAGAGTGACATAGTCCTGTTTCTCACCCATAGCTCCTTCCCTTCCAATAAGTTACTTAGAAAAAGCCAGAAGTGATGCTGTGGCTCGAGTGGTAGATCACTGACCTTGAGCCAAAGAAGCTCCTGACCCAGAGTTCAAGCCTCAGGACTGGCAAGAAACAAAAAAAAGCACACTGAATTGAAAAAGGACTCAGTGTCTATTATTCTAGACTGTCTTCTCATCTCAGTCCATCTTTTGTAGGAGCATAGAGACTAGAATATAAATCTATCACGCTCCCAATTGGTTCAGGTCAGCTTTTGTCTCCTCAGCATGGTCTCCACCTACAAGGTTTGGGATTTAAAATACTGATTTCATTATCCTTTCTCACGAATGAGTAATTGATCCATTTCTTGAGTCCCTGAGTCCTTGTATGCTGTCTTGCTGTGTACCCTCAGAAAGGTCAGGGAGTTTATATCTCTTAGGCATGTGCTGGGGATAGAGTAGGCAGATGTAAAGTGGAATGGCTTTTTTCCCTTGATTCCATTCTGCCATTTCATTCTTTAATATCCATGTCTCCATGGATATGTCTTCCCTTCTTTTTCAGAAAAGGTGAGGACTGTATTCGGAATGGGGTTCTGGAAGATTGTCAGAGGAATGAAAGGGAAGGATAGGGGCATGAACTCGGTATAGGAACTATCTCTGACCTTTTGTGCTCAAAGCTGGAGCTTTACCTTTTGAACCATAGCTCCACTTCCAGGTTTTTTTTTGGTGGTCAACTGAAGATAAAGTCTCACAAACTTTCCTGCCTGGGCTGGCTTCAAACCACAATCCTCAGATCTCAGTCTCCTGAGTAGCTAGAATTACAGATGTGAGCTACCAGAACACCCAGCCACTTTCCTCTTTTTTATTCCAAATATACTATCTCAGATAGTTCAGGTAGGAGTCAGTAGGAGTTAGTGATGGCCACTCTCTCAAGCTTTTGGAAATATACTGGGAATCTTTCCTCTCAAGTCACTTCTTCCTCTTGGCTCAGCAATTTTTGTGGGTATTCTATGAAGTCACCTCATTCCTCTTTCAAGTTCTCTGGATGTTCTCTAATAGCATAAATATTGGTCACAAAATTCCACCTTTGCCATCACCTCCCTTCCATTCAGGTACCTCAAGTTGAGGGTTTCTAGTACATTTCACTTCTGTCAGTAATGAGCGATATATCATGCTGAAAAGGGACATTTTCTTATCATTGAAAGGTCACCAGACAGGATCATCTCTAAACAAAAACCTCCTGCCAGAAGGCCATTCCTCTGACATAATTAGCAGGCCTAAAAACCATGTGGAAGGGATGAAAACAAATGAACTAAGGATGCTTAAGCTAGGCAAACATTCAAAGTTTATTTGTGAAAGAACTAGGTGAATGAGGAACAAAGAATGCTTCCAGGGTTTATGGAATACCATAAACAGCAGTCACTGTGTTCAACATGCTTAGATGTGTATCTCACTGAATCCTCAGAGCAGCTCTGAGGTAGGAACTATTATTCCCAATTTACAAATCTTACGACAGGTTCAGAAAAGTCTCTTGATGGGAAAAAAAAATACATGGCAACCTCCATTCCACAAAAATGAACATAGGTTATGTCTGGGCAGTTTAGTATTAAAGAAGTTTTATTCAATATTTAAATGTAATATGAAACATGTAATTTTCAGGAAACAGTAAAATTTTATGAAATACTAAATAAATATAGAGAAGTCTTGGCCAACATCATAAAGCAGACTCTGACAAAGATACAAACCTTATCCTCCAACTTCTTATGATAATCACATTATCATAAGAGATAACCACTTGGGCCAAATGAAGCAAAGAATTAAAGTACATCAGAAACAGTTCATATTTAACCCAGTTCTGACTGGAACCATCGAACTAAGCTGTAAGCCCTACTTTGCTTGGACACTTTGGAATGTTTTCCTCTAGTATCAGCTATGCACCAAGAATCAGAGGTCATACAGGGCTCTCCTTGCTATTGCAAGTAAATGCACAGGCCTTCCTGTAGAACATTCAGGTATATAAAGTTAAGGGTGACCAGCCATAAAAATGGACCTCCCGCCAAGCGTCAGAGGCTCACACCTGTAACCTTAGAGGATTATGGTTCAAAACCAGCTCAGGCAAAAAAATAAAATAAAATGTCTATGAGACTCTTATCTCCAATTAACCAGCAAAAAGCCAGAAATGGAGGTGTGGCTCAAGTAGTAGAGCACTAGTCCTGAGCAAAACAGCTAAGGGACAGTGCCCAGGCCCTGAGTACAAGCCCCAGTACCAGCACAAAAATTTTTAAAAAAACAAAAACCTTTCTTTAAGAAGGTTTTGAGAGCCATTAGTGCATTTAATTAAAGCCTCAAAGGCTATTTCACCACTGCTTTATGCTTTTTTACAGAGACAGATACTTGGATAAGGGCTCAAATTGTCTCCTTCATTGCATTCTATGTCTGTATTGAAAGAATCAACAGAGTAAAGGTAAGTGCTTCCAAGCTTCTTAGGCCTATGCTGACTTTCAGGCCAGGCCTTCCATTGCTGCTTGGAATTTCTTTACAAAAGACAATGAAGTACTAGGTACTCAAAAAAAAAGACAACTAAATAGGTATACTTCTCCCAGGGGAAATATTGAATTATCTTATTTGTTTCAGAGTAAAGTTCCCTGAGCTCTGTGGCTTGGTTTTCCATGAAATCATATCAGAGCCCTCAAAAGCTTCCCGAGTTTAGGGATTCTGATTTCTCTCTGAAGTGTGTATGTGGTGGGGGGAAGGAATGGGGGGGTGTAAAATACTATTTACTATATCTCTTGAGAATGAAAAATAAAAGCAGGACCCGTAGCCAGCTTACATTTTCTGAGTACCTGATACTTGAAGAATTTATGTCACTGGGAATGAGGAAGTTCTGAGTAACCAGACAAAAACATAGAAATAGCTACAGATATATCTGATACTCATATCTTCATCCTCTGATTTGTAAAGTACCCCATTATGTGTCAGTCTTCTGTCAGGCACTGAAGATACAATATTTATGAATAAGTGAGGTGGTGTAGATTGCTTTTTGTGAAATACAAAATATACCTCTTCCAAATTTTCTGGCAGTAACAGATTCTGTTTTTTGTGCACCACATAATTTTGCTACACTTTTGTTACTTGATATGGTGACTTTCCTCAGACTAGGGACTCAGGCTGTGCTTCCCTATTCCTGTGGAGTTTCTGGTGTCTAAGAAGGCTTGATCGCCTGCTAAAGTTTCTCCTGCACATACTACAAGTATAAGGCTGCTCACCTGTGTGGGTTCTCTGGTGTTTAACAAGGTGGGAATTCTGAATGAATCTTTTCCCACATTCGTGACACTTAAAAGGTTTCTCTCCAGTGTGAATCCTTTGATGTGTGTGTAGATTGGTGTTATGACTGAAGCTTTTCCCACACCATGAGCATCTATAGGGTTTTATTCCTTGATGTGCCAGGAAGTGTTTATTAAGATCTGAACTCCATCTAAAGCGCCTATCACACAATTGACACTTATAGGGCCTTTCTTCCGTGTGAACTCTCTGATGTTTAATAAGGTCAGAGCTAACTCTGAAGCTATTCCCACATTCCTGACACTTAAAAGGCTTCTCTCCTGTATGGCTTCTCTTGTGACGTTTTGCAACCTCTTGTTCACAAGTTGAAACTCTCTTTCTTTTCTTCCTTGTAAAATCTTGACCCTGTGTTTGTACAATGTGTGTGTCATCATGCTTTTCCTTGCCTGCTGTTTTCTGGGCAACTTTCGCTCTTGTCTTCTTTGGTGCTTGTATTTCTGATGCAGTAACAGATTTAGGCTGATCATTTCCAGTGTTTTTTTTGAGCTTTAACCCTGTTAGAATAAACAGAAGAATCAACCATCTGCTTCCCAGAGTAAGAACACTACAAGTATGGAGAGAAAAGGCAATGGTGGTTGGGGCTGAGGTGTAGCTCAGTGGAAAAGTGCTCACCTATCCAGGTTTGATACTCAGTACCATAAAAAAGGCAACGGTGAGCCGGGCACTGGTGGCTCACGCCTGTAATCCTAGCTACTCAGGAGGCTGAGATCTGAGGATCCCGGTTCAAAGCCAGCCCGGGCAGGAGAGACCGTGAGACTCCTATGTCCAATAAACCACCAGAAAACCGGAAGTGGCGCTGTAGCTCAAGTGGTAGAGCGCTTGCCTTGAGCTGAAGAGCTGAGGGACAGCGCCCAGGCCCAGAGTTCAAGGCAAAAAAAAAAAAGGCAACGGTAGTGCTAAAAAATAAAAATAAAATAGCAACAATTGATGCCTAGTCCATTCAGAAAGAATGGTACAGATTCTCCCTGATCTTGCTGCTAGACACAACAGCAAGACTGTTATGTAATGAAAAAAATCAACCAAAACAGAATTGTAAAAAATGCTAAGATAGCTGAGTGCCAGTGGCTCATGCCTGTGATCATAGCTACTAAGGGTGCTGAGGTCTGAGGGTTTCAGTTCAAAGCCAGCCCAGGGAAGAAAGTCCATGAGACTCTTATCTCCAATTAACAAGCAAAAAGCTAGAAGTGGAGCTGTGTGGCTCAATTGGTAAAGCACTAGCCTTGAGTACAAAAGCTCAGGGGCAGTGTCCCGGCCCTGAGTTCAAGGCATGTGATAGGCACACACACACACACACACACACACACACACACACACACACACACACACACACACATAGCATCAGAAAGCAAGAAAAATGTTAGAATAATATAGCAAGGTGCCTTATATCTCAACACCCAGCAGAAAAAAAAAGTGTCAGATCAAGGATTTTCCCAGCCCTCAATCAATCAACAGAAGGTAAGCATATTCCTTTCCTAGAGTGACATGATTCAACTGGCAAAGGGAACACGCTTAGGATCTGTCAGCATTAAGCAGCCAGGAAGGTACTTAAGGTACTTGTCTTCCATAATGGGCTGGAGACTCTTCCCAAAGAAAGTTGAGAGATCAATAGCGAAGTGTAAAAGCAGAAGGCAAGGGAGAGCCAATCACACCAAGGGAAATGAACAGACATGAGATTTTTGCTTTTAACAGAAGACACCAAAGTGAAGTCACAAAACTAGCAAGTGGTCCAGCTTAGGAGCCTCTTCATCCTCAGGAATCTGAGACATCTGGAATCTGAGACATCTGCTGGAAGAAAGACACCCTGGCCTAAGGAAATGTCTTCCATATCCTCATACAGCACCAATTCCAACCAATAGCAGCCCCAATAGTATCAGAGAAACCAAGGAGACCAAAGTAACAATCTAAAAGCTCTGAAAATTCAATTGTGACTAAAAGCATCCATCACAAAATTAATAAAGAGCCTGGATGACAAACTCAAAACAGGTGTCTGCACAATAAAATACAGTATTTAATTATGGCCTAGACTTTTCTAACATAATAAAATCATCAGGAGATGGCTAATGAAATAATTTGACTGAGAACCAAACAAATCACAACCTGAGTGACAAAAATGTAATCAAACTAGAAATTGGAAACAGAAACATGAACATGTAAAAAGTAATGTAAAAATGAAAGAAAGCACTTGTAAATAATTTACTGTTTAAATGAAAGGATTCAAAAGAAATACGCACATACTTACAGGCAAGCAAAAATGAAATTAGGATATATCAAAATACATGGGATGTTGCTGGGCGCTGGTGGCTCCTGTCTATAATCCTAGCTACTCAGGAGAGTGAGTTCTGAGGATCATGGTTCAAAGCCTTCCCGAGGAGGAACATCTATGACATTTTTATCTCCAACACACCACTCAATAAGCCAAAAACAGAGCTGTGGCTCAAGTGGTAGAGTACCAACCTTGAGCAAAAATTCTCAGGGACACCATGTAGGCTCTAATTTCAAGCCTCAGGACTAGCACAATACAACACACACACACACACACACACACACACACACACGGAATGTGTTGGGCACTGGTAGCTCACATCTGCAATAGATATGAGGCTACTCTGGAGACTAAGTTCTAAGGATTGCAGTTCAGAGGCAGACCAGAAAGGAAAGTCCACGAGAGACTCCTATCTCCAATTAACAAGCAAAACAAAGCCAGAAGTGGAGCTGTGGCTCAAGTAGTAGGGCTCAATCTTGTGAAAAAAACAACAACAACAAAACAAACAACTCAGGGACAGTGCCAACATCATGAGTTTGAGACACAGGAATAAAAAAAAAAAAGAAGAAGAAGCTGTGCAGCTCTCATCTGTAATCCTAGCTACTCAGGAGGCCAAGATCTGAGGATCATGGTTTGAAGCCAGCGTGGGCAGGAAATTCCATGAGCCTCTTATCTTCAATTAACTACCAGGAAACCAGAAGTAGCACTGTGGCTCAAAATGGAGGGGACAGCGCCCAGGCACTTAGTTCAAGCCCCACAACTGAGAAATAAAAGGGGAAGGGGAGAAAAGAAAGTGAAAGAAAAAAAGCTGGGCACTAGTGAGTTCGTGTCTATAATCTTAGATACTCAGGAAGCTGAGATCTAAGGATGGCAGTTGAAAGCCAGCCTGGGCAGGAAATTCTGTGAGACTCTTTTTACCTCCAAAAGAAAGCTGGAAGTAGAGCTGTGGTTCAAGTAGAATGCTAGCCTTGAGAAAAAAGAAGCTCAGGGACAGTACCCAGACCCCGAGTTCAAACCACAGGAATGAAACACACACACACAAAAAAATCCAAAGCAAGTTGAAAAGAATATAGATGAGAGCAGAAATCATATATAAAAGGCTAATACAAATCATTAATATCAAAAATAAAGAGGCTGGGAAGGTGGCTCAGTGGTAGAGCGCTTGCATTGCATGCATGAGGCCCTGGGTTCGATTCTTCAGCACCACATAAGCAAAAAGCAAAAAAGCTGCAAGTGGCACTGTGGCTCAAGTGGTAGAGCGCTAGCTTTGAGCTGAAGAGCTGAGGGACAGCACCCAGGCCCAGAGTTCAGGCCCCATGACCAGACCCCCCAAAAAATTTAAAAATAATAAATTAAAAAAATAAAACAGCTTGAGCACTGGTTCACACCGCTAATCCTAGCTATTCAGGAAGCTGAGAAAGATTAGTTTGAAATAAAGCCTGAGCAACACAGTCTAAGACTCTACCTCCAAAATAACAAGCAAAAAGCCAAGGTGGGGACATGGTTTAAATGGCTGAGCAAGCCGGGCACTGGTGGCTCACGCCTGTAATCCTAGCTACTCAGGAGTCTGAGATCTGAGGATCGCGGTTCAAAACCAGCCTGGGCAGGAGAGACCGTGAGACTCCTATGTCCAATAAACCACCAGAAAACCGGAAGTGGCGCTGTAGCTCAAGTGGTAGAGCGCTTGCCTTGAGCTGAAGAGCTGAGGGACAGCGCCCAGGCCCAGAGTTCAAGCCCCACGACCAACCAAAAAAAAAAAAATGGCTGAGCACCAGCCAACAAAGAACAAGGCCCAGAGATTACAATTTGAAATAAAACCTGAGCAACATAGACTCCACCTCCAAATAACCAGCAAAAAGCCAGGCTGGGAACATGGTTCAAATGACTGAGCACCAGCCAAAAAAGAACAAGGCCCAGAGTTCAAATGAGAGCACATACAAAAAAATGACTAAAAAGCTGAACATAGGTGGCTCATGCTAGAATCCTAGCTAATTAGGAGGCTGAGATCTGAGGATCATGGTTTAAAGCCATCCTGGGCAGGAAAGTCTGTGAAACTCTTATCCCCAATTAACCACCAAAAAATCCAGAAGTAGAGCCGTGGTTAAAGTGGTAGAATGATGGCTTTGAACAAAGAAACTCAGGGACAGCATCCAAGCCCTGAGTTCAAGCCCCAGTACTGCTACAAAAAAAAAAGAATAATATAGGGCTGGCTGAGCATGGTGGTTCATACCTATAATCTTGACATTTGAGAATCTTAGGCAAAAAGATGACAAGGTCAAGGCCAGCCTAGGTTATTTCACAAATTTTAGGCCATCCTCAGTTACATGGTAAGACCCTGTCCCAAAGAAACAAACAAATAAGTAAGGCATATTACAAAATGTTATCCTTCAATTAAAATAATGGTAAGGAAATGTATGAACTTTGTCATGAATTTAAAAAGTCAGTAAAATGTAACAATGCATTAAAAATCAAGCTATCAGAATTTAAGCAATATGAAATAGTCAACCTGAATATAACCATTAAAGAAACTGAATTCATAATTTTTCAAGGTTCTTCCATACCCAAAACTATGTCCAGATACAGATGGTATCATTTGGTATTCTAGTAAATATTTAAAAAAATTAATGGTTTCATGAAATCTCTTTCAGAAAAGAGAACAGCAGGAAATAGCACCCATCAATTTGTAAGACGAATATTATGCTGATATCAAAACCAAACAATGACAGCATTAAAAAAATAACAGTTCATCTCCCATGAACTCAAATTCAAAACTTATCAACAAACAATTAAATGGAACAAAGAATCAGAAGTATAGATCAAAACAAAGTGGGATTCATTGTAGATATTCAAGGCCAATTTAACGTCTGAAAATCAGTCAACATAACTGAGCAGTTCAACAAACTAAAGTAGAAAAATCAGCAAGGTGGAGGCAGAAGAATCACAGGTTCAAGGCCAGTCTAGACTACATAATGAGAGTGCCATAAACAAATGAATAAACAATCTCCCTCAAAAGAAAACAAGAAACAAAACCAAGGCAAACACAAAACTTGCCAGATGCTAGTGCTCACACCTGTAATCCTAGCTACTCAGAAGAACCGAGAGCTGGAGGATGATAACTTGAAGCCAGCTTGGGCAGAGACTCCATATCCGAAATAAACAGCAAAAGTCCAAACTTAAGGTGTCACTCAATAGGTAGAGCACCAGCTGAACAAGCAAGCTGAATGAGTAATG